TCCATTTCAATAGACAAGAGAATTCTGTTGGAATCGCAATGTGATCGAAAGGCTTTGCTAGAAGCAAAAGATGTTGTCTCCTAGTAAAGAAAGTGAAAAACAACGGCATTTGCAGATGAAGCTCCTATCTTTTATCTGAGAACTGAACGGTTGATTCCAATCTTTCTGCGCTATTATTAAGCACCTCTCCGAAGTTATGACCAAACACTGTTGAAATTGCACATGCGACTGAAACAAAAACATTCAGTACACACCGCTCGTGCGTATAAGGATGCGATAAAAATTTACTTGAAAGAAAAACTTTGACTAAAGCTTTTTCTTATTAGTTTGCTTTGGAAAATTTTCATCTTCATTATGAAGTAACTCTTTAGTATTTACTAGTTGCCAAGCTCATGCACCTGTGGCAGCTGCACATTTTTCCGAATTTGCGTATATTGCGTACTTGCGATTTCCTTTGAGTATTTGTATCGCCATACTTGGTGTGGATCCTTCCTTCATTATAAGCCATTTCCTGTGATCCTCAAATGCAAGGCACTTGCAAAAATCAATCACTGGCTAGGCCTATTCTATCTTTCAAAGCAAATAGTTTGGTCAACTTGTTATTTCTTTATTGTGTGCTGTTTCACTCTGCTCTCGATCATTATAATATGGCCACACGGCGATGCAAAATAATGTGTTAAACGTAATTATTACAACTTTTGCATAAACCTAGGGGAAAATGGGAGCCACAATAACCAGCAAACAAACTTAAATAAGGCTAACGTGTTGAGTCAATGTTTGGGATCTTCGTAAATTGCAGCACCAAGTACCTTGTAAAAAGTTCTCCCAGACGAAGGTGGCTATCCACGTAAAGGGCGTATGCGGGCGGACAGCTCTAATGGTCGGAGATGCGAGAACGCCGCGGCAAAATAAACCGACTGCCTTCGTCAGGGCTCATCAAACTAAGCGACTATGTTTACTTCTTTTTTTAGAAATAAATGTGCTCCGCTTCTCCCAAAATGTGTGATCAATCTGATTCGTCTTCATAATCAGCTAGCTGGCATAGCCGGCTCCGTCTGTCCCTATCAGTACACTATGTGATAAATATCACCAAGCTCGTTTCGGATAACCTTCCCTCGTCGCGACCACTTCTTGCCAGCACCCTGTCCCCGCTACGTTTCGTAATAGCATACTTATACATCCCCTTCTACCAACCTTGGCTCACATTTTGCAAAAAAATCGGTAAATTCAGTAGAGGTGATCGTTATTTTCAAAAAGTAATATTGTATTCGTAATCAGCTTGCTTACCCCCCCCCCCCTTAGCGCCGACTGCAAGCTTCGAGCTCAGAGTTTGGAAAAAATCGGTAAAATCGATAAAGGCAATGGTTTTTTTTTCAGAACTATTACTAATTCATGATCAGCACGGTCACTTATTTCCCCTTTTGCCAATGTCCAGCCCCGCTGCTGAAAGTTTGCAAAACATCGGTGAAATCGATATCGATCAATGACGAAAGGTAGCCCACGACACCTGCCCCCCCCCCGAAACAGGGTCCTGCACGAGATGGCATATTGGAGAAATTGAAAAACGATGCTCCTCTTGACATCGCAAAAAATTACGAGATATCCTTTGCAGTGTTTGTAGAAGCTCCTATAATAATGCAACGAAAAGAAGTAAATTGAAATGAGGAAAAAATGAGTAAAAGATCAAATAGCGAGGTGCGAAAAGAGCTGTTTTATGTCATGAAGAGCCGTAACAAAGCCTAGGGGAGAAACTTGTGTGAAGATGAGTACTCATAGGTCGATCTTAATCAAAAGAATGAATTTATGTAAAAAAATTTGAAAATTTATGTGAGGAAGGAGGGGAATTGTGAATATGTTTGTCTTTGTCTGATCTCGCGCAACCTCAGGGTGCTTCCAGGTTGCGCGGGAGCAACCTAAAATCGAAAAACACTTACAACTTCAGTATTGTCCATGTTCGGCTATCCTTGAACCTTAGCATGGCTTGTCACTTGAGAGGTGTGGTTTGAGCGGTTGACCAAGATGGTATACAGTTTATTATTGTACAATGGCCTACGTTTCGGCGCTGTCGCCTTCGTCAGAGCCTTAGCCAGAAGCAAAACGGAAGTCGAGAGACCGCCGACGAAGGCGACAGCGCGAAGGCGAAGGCGACAGCGCCGAAACGTAGGCCATTGTACAATATAAACTGTGTACCATCTTGGTCAACCGCTCAAACCACACCTCTCAACTTACAAATTCTTCCATTCACATAATTTTTTCATAATTTCATACTATTTTGATCATCGCTGCCTATATACATACCAAATTTGGTGGCTCATTATTGTTTACTCATTGTAAACAAACCGATTTTTTATATTTTTGTGCGTAACGATTGTGTTTTGACACGTTGAAATTGTGTGCACACATGTTTGCGCATCTTTCATGTTTGCAACGTGTTAATTTACATGTAACTGATAGAATTTCGTTACACCTTCAAGCTCGGGCTCGCTAAGAGTTGGAGTTTCGTAAGTGGAAACTTTACGGGTTCCCCTCTGCTTTCCCTTCAAACGACATCCAGCATGTGAAAGCACCACCTGTGCTGAGCCCTGCCCCGAAATGTACTGGTGCCAAGTTTGGTCCAAATCGGCTCAGAAATAAAAACTTCTTTTCAGAACATACAACTATACATACAGACAAACATACAATCAGCTTTATAAGAGAGGATCAAGGTTGCAGGGTTGATGTTGGCCGCTCCTCTTTTAGCAAACTCCGCTCACCTCTTCATCCTCCTCGTTGTGCATAGAGCACATGGAAAAGGTTCACAGCATAGTCTCAACAGAATCCAGGTGATGCGAGTCTTTATATATTCTGTTGAAGGGCTCCTTATATAACCACTACCCAAGTTCGACTCGATTCGAATCCCCGCTCTCAAGAAAATTGCCTTCAAAGTTGCCCGCAAAGGGCGAATTGGCCCTCCAGACCGACTTGCCAATTTCCCTTTTCGTGTTTCAACACGTCCTTTCGGTCAATAGCCCCCGTTGACATATCTAAATCTGCGGGAGTAAAAAGCACATTTCGTCTAAGTTGCTCCTGCGGAGCCACAAAAAAACGGAGTTTTGGGAACATTTGGGCACATTTGAATCCGTGTAGGGTATACAGGGTCGTTAAGGCTTGTTATACGCAAGAAGCCCAAGATCCGAGTTTTGGTGAGACGCTGCATTTAAGTAGCTTCCAATCGCAATCAGCTCTGACAAGTAAGCTTCACCCTCAGGGAGCATGCTCCTCTTACGTTTTCAGCATTTTTGGACGAGTGGGTGGAGCTTGCCACAAGGAGTGAAGTGCCCCTGTATTGTATATGAATAGTGCACGCAAAAAACGGAGTTTTTGGAGTACGCATAGATACATACATACGTGCAGTCATCTATATAAAAGCACAAAAACTTCTCGTCTCATGACAGACATGAAAAAATAGCTTGTCGTCTATTTCCTGTGCTCAATTTTTAATTTTCTTCTACGCTAGCAAATCTGGAAAAAGAATCTCAGATTTTCGTTGCTTAGCCTTCTCTGTGACCCCATTGTCTGCACCACTTCTATCTTTTCGTCTTCTTGGGTTAGTTACGCTTGCGCGTCACCTGACGGTGTGCGATCTGCTTTGAATATGAAATTCTCTGGTCCACAAGTTATAATTGATTTGTTTTCCATAAGAGAGCTATGCTGATTCGCTCCATATCTCTCCGAACGCTACTTCTGCAAAATTTCCGTCCCACCTTTGGCGGGGGCGCGGCTCTCATATTGCGCTGCGCAATTGGTGTCACTCTCCTACCGCCGTCGGTCTACGGATCACAATTTGCATATTTCTCACCCCAATAGTCATTTGATTGACTTAGAAGATATGCACTGTAACAAATTCTATTCGTCTCAATGTACCTCTTCTATGGAGAAGTCTCCTCCTACCGATCAAAGATCGCTTCAAGCGTTCGACATAGACCTTTCCTCCCAGGCTGGAAGTTCATCGCTAAAGCCGACGTCTGGAGAAGATCCCGGGGTAATCTCTCTCGGTAAAACTGCCCAGAAGCTCAGGATTCAACCCTGCAAGGATGTGAAGATAAATCTGCCGTTGATTGTTAAACCCTTGCGACAATACGCCACAAATCCCACGCCAAGCACTGTTACTACAGGGAATTCCAATTTCTCGATCAAAAAGCACCCACACCATGTAGCTCCTCTCATTTGCCGCCGACGAACTTTGAATGGTGTTGAGGATAATTGTGTTAGATGGTACTCAAGCTCGGTTGATGGAGGAATTTTGGAATCTTCAACCCTACCTAGAAATTTTCTTCGAAAACCCTCAATGTTGCATGCTGCCGCCCCTGTGCAAGCACAGTTGATATCACATCCACCTGAAGAAGTGCCACTTCTTATTCCGCCACCGAAGCCAGCAAGGTCCTTATACAATAATTCTGCACTGGCGGAGAAAAGGGACTTTTTGGAGAAGAAATTTTCGTCCGAATTATTCTCCTGTGTGGCTAAGCCTGTATTGATTAAAGATTCAAACGAAAGCTCCACGAAGGATTTGAAGCAAGCTAATACTTCATCTAAGGTGTTTATGCACGCCCCAAAAAGGGAAGTTCCATCTATGCTGCAAATATCCCGAAAAGCTCTTCCATTGCATAAAAGGCATTCGCTGGCTACTAATCAAGAAATAACAGCTAGGAAAGCAAGATGTGGAACTGAATCTTCTTGTGAAGTTGCTCATCAGCGCGAAGATAGTGGCTATAGATCGGATCGTAGGCTTTCTTCAAGTCAAGACGGAGACTTCGCAAAAGCTTGTGAGTCCCTTACGGGGATGTTCCCTGAAACTTCCGATGGATTTCATAGCGAAAGCGAGCCAGATAGCGATAATGGAGAATTTGAACAATTTGAGGATGTGAGAAACAGGTTTGCGATATATCGACGTATGCGTTGTAGGAAGACTAGCCAAATTCTTAGTGTATTGATCCTTGATTTTAATCTTGATTTTTCAGCAAAAGATACAGCCTCGTGTTGAGAACTCAAGTTGCATTGCGGGTAAAGACTATCATAGGTATGATCAATTTATTTGTAATTTATTAAGCACTGCACACCACGCGCGTATATTACGATTTGTGTGATAAAAAAACTTTCATTCTAAGGATATCCTCTCGTGTTCTGCTCTCTTTTGACGTTATTGTATGGTATCAAGTGAGTATGACAGTACACATTACAACAGCTTATTCCATGCAACAGGGAATTGAGAGTTGCCGCGCGTTGTGTGCAAACTCACTTAAGAAGTTGCAAGTGACTCGCATAAATGATTTAACAATATTTTTACCTTTATAATTTTTTTCAGAAAAGCTTTTGTCGAATACTGGTAGAGATCAAAGACGAGCTTTGTTTTCATTGAAGAAGATATTCCAGGTATAGTTCATTTACATTTGTTCCGTTTTTATGTTTAGTTCCAGCAGATTCTATTTTCAAATACAGTGGTCACTGTAGGTGTATGATAGAAGATCCAGGTCAAATGCATGAAAGAACTATCCACCCAAAGCCTTGGCACCACGTAGTCATGGAGGTCATGAGGTGTCAGCAACGTTGATTAGCACCATTGCACCATCTAACAGAGCTGCTTACTGTACACAATAGCTCGCGTTGTCCTGTCCTAGTATATAAAACCGAGATTTGAAAGTTCGAACCAAAGTTCAGATGCGACTTTCGTTGTTGGGATGAAAATTGGTATCTATGGTTTTCTCCCATGGGTTCCCAAATATGCTACTGGTTTTGCACAAGACTCAAAATCTCAACTTCGAGAAGATGTCACAAATATAGAGTTTGATATCTCATTTTTCATTTCTGGAGTCAAAAATAGCGGTGTGACGCTATACTTTAAGTTAGTTGGATCCGGAATCAGATCTGTTCTGAACATAGCGGATCTTTTCGTTCATTTCCCAATTCTTCCACTTATGCACTAAATTTTATGAAGAAGTTCATTTGAAATAATCCAAACATTCTGAGCAAAACACCATTGAGTTTGGAAACACCATGATAGAAACCTCTATAGTATCTTTCCAAACTTGCAATGCAATTTAAAAAACTTGTTTTCAAAAATATTTCAAGGTTCAAGCAAAGCCACCAGTATAATCGGAAGCACCATGATAAAAACACCTCTAGTTACAAATTTTTATCCCAATCAGACGAAAATCTTATCCAAATTTTGAGTTCGAAATTTTGATGAAATGCCAGTTCCATGCATTGCATGAGGTTGGGGTTACTCTATGTAGAAATCAGTACATTTGTAAATAAGTAAATGTTAGGGTACAAAGTGGCTTAGTGTTGCTGCGAGTTCATGACCAGAGTCGAGCAAGAAATGTGGCACAGGACCGCCGGATGCGACCCCTCCCGCTCTAAATGTCTCAACAGAATCCCCCCCCCCCCCCCCAGCTTAATGTTCACTTAACGCAGGCATGAAATGAGGCCCTACCAAGCATGGTGGGGAATATATTGTAATTAGCATGCCAAGTAACTTCTGTGGACGAAATATTAGCGAATTTTGAGGGTTAGTTCCTTATATTGGGCCGCCAAGTGAAGTGGTCATTTTCAGACACGGCTAACTGTATTTTGAATGTGAATTAGTTTTTTTTGTAACTACAAAGCACACTACCTATCTGCCAGTGGCGTACCGAGGGGGGGGGGGGCAGGGGGGGGCGCGCGCCCCCCCCCCCCCGAGAATGGGTCGCGAAATTTTTGAAAGTTACTTATATGGGGCTATCTGCCTATACATGAATCCTGCTTTGAATTATCATCAAACTATGAAATTGGGAGCCAGACATCTCAATTGTCCCATTTTTCGATTACCGTGGCTGCTTCCGGCAACTATTGCTTAAATGAAAGAAGACGAATTAAGCTCTTATCGCTTCTACAGAAACTAAGGGATCTTGGTTATTGAATCGTAAATATTCTGTTCGCTGAAGTTCTCTGTGGAAGTAAGTTAATGGGCACATGTGGCACAACCTTATGAAAGTTTTAGGGCTTGTGCCACATTCCATTAACTAAGATCCAAAGCGTTCAAATATCTGTGTCTTTTATATGTTGCCACTGCTAAGCCTTCTTCTCTGTATAATAGGAAATTCATTCAATATCGCTGCTACGTCTGCACTACTACGTGAATTGCGAGGAAAGGCGGCGAGATTATATATCACTAGCTGGCTTACCCGGCTCCGCCGTATGTTCCGAATAGAAATTTCCATTTCTTAACCGATCCGGACCAAACTTGGCACACATACACTTCGAGCCCCGGCGGGTGTCACAGTCCACTTTTTGTTATCGATCGATGTCAATGTTATCGATTTTTTGAACAATTTGAGCTATGGGGCTGGGAGTTGGCACAGGGGGGTAATCGAGCATGCTGATCGATTACCCCCCTGTGCCAACTCCCAGCCCCATAGCTCAAATTGTTCAAAAAATCGATAAAATCGATATCGATCGATGACGAAAAGTAGCCTATGACACCCGCCGGGGCTCAAAGTGTATGTGTGCCAAGTTTGGTCCCGATCGGTTCAGAAATGGAATTTTCTATTCGGAACATACGTACACACAGACATACAGACATACAGACATACAGACATACAGACAGACAAACAGACATTCAGCTTTATATATAAGATTCATTCTAAGACTAGCAGACGCGAGACCGCTTTGCAGACATTGCTAAACAAGCTTATCGTGTACTTAGCAGGTTTATACTCGTCATTTATCTCGCCCATGTTTTTCACTCTTTGGAATGGAAACAGGGAAGAACAAACATTAACATGTTAAGACAATGTCCGCAGTGCGGTCACGCGTTTCCTAGTCGTAGAATAGATGAAACATTCGCAGCCTAAGAATTTCACGAATTGGTCTCCCTAGTCTGTGATAATGAAAGCGAAAAATGGGAGACGAGATTTTGGCATGCTTTTTATTCCATTTCGAGGTTTGGAGGTTATTTGGAGTGGAATTCCTAATGTAAGCGAAGAAGTAGTAGTACGTTGTATTGAGTGCAAAAAGAGATAGTCATCTCATCTTTAAAACAAAGGTAACATGCTGGAAATGACCATTCCACTTAAGTGGTCGAATCTATTAGGTGTCCCAAAAGTAAACTCCTTTTTCAGACTATTCAAGCTGTTTTTGTTTTCCCAGTAAACTTAGGGTATCATTCGATAGAGCAGATCAAGCTCTACAAAATAACTGCCAAGGATCCACCTAAGCCGCATCTCGTGGAAAGTTTAAATCGGAAAAAATTTTGTCACCTGAAAATTGGATTTCTGCGATAAAGAATCCTACAGATCTCCAACTGGTCGTTAGATAGTAGGCACATAGTAGTACTCAAATATGCTTTTACCGAATTTTTCCAAGCATTGAAAGCGAGAAACAAAAATCGTCCAAAAATGGCAAACTCCGCCCAACTCTCCCACATATGTCATTGTCTACAAACCTTACAAGGTACAATTTCAAAAACTTACCCTTGTATGTGCTCTTATATTCGAGAAATACCAAGTTTTACATAAAAAAAAACCCGAAAAAAGTGGCATTTTGGCATTTCGGACCATCTTTTTTTCTCAATTTTGAGCCCCGGAAAAAATCCGCCAAATACAATACGTTTTTGGGCACTACTATATGTCTAGTCTGTAGAAATCCTCTGGAAGGAGATCCGATTTTTAGGGTAGTTGAAAAATCTTGATTATTGGTCCCAAATTTTATCTGGATTACGACTTACAAGGAAAGGATACTCGGTCACCGCGCCCATTTGGAATGCGATGTATACTGTATGATGCACCTCGAAACGCTGATTCCAAATCTGTGCTCGAATCTGCGAAACTATCTTCTGAAGGAAGTTATGAACTTTTTTCGTAGAAAATTTGCGTACTTTTGTTGTAGTTAAAATCACCAAATTTGTTCCAAGTTACCATTTGAAGCTATTGAAGAGAATCTTAAAAGGAATAGTCTTGTACTAGGTCTATCTAAATCATATTCAGCATTTGAAAAGAAAAGAAAAATTTTATTGATGATTTTGACCCTCCGCAGTAACGCAGTTTATTCATGGAAAAATAATCATAACTCCACCCAGATTATCATTCATGTTCCATTACAACACTTCTTATTAATCAAGTATTCTCGAGTAACTGACTCTTCCTATTAGCCTCATGCGGTGGGAGTATATCCACCATGCAATCCTGAGTTAGATAGTTTATCTCAGGGACGTTTTGCTGGCAGTAATGGGGGCATGGGTACCATCTCCATGATCACATCTTTATGACAATTGTAGACCCAGAGCAGTCACATGCAAGCTCTATCAAACATACTTCTTAACCAATTTAAAGGTATGGACCCAACGGCACGGTGGACCTTGACTGGGGTTGTTCGATTTACTGTGTGTGTATTTTTTTTCCTCTTGTTCTTTTTGTAAGGAACGCCGTAGAGCGTATGAATAAATAAATAAATAAATAAATTATCGTTTCGCAGATTTGGAAGACAGTATTCGAACCAGCATTAAAAGGCGCATTTTTGATGTACAGTTCATTATGAATGGCCACGGTGACCGAGTATCTTTCCCTTGTTAGGTGTATCTTTGGTGGTCTTTTTGTAAAGCTTGCTCTGCTCCATCGAATGGTACCTTAAGTCTGTTAAGAGAACAAGAACGGCTCAGTTTATTTGCAAATAGAGTTTACTTTTAGGACAACCTAATAGAAACCTTAAAATTCGAGCTTGCGCGCAATACCCGTCCACTTTTGTACGTCTAACGTGTCCATCAAGATCCCTCTATGATAAAGCGCACGCGTGTGTCGCCTTCCCCCCCCCCCTCGCCGCGTATGTGTGAAGCCAGGAAGTCGTAAACATGATGACTCATCTTTTTGCTTCCCTCCCCCCAGTCCAGCCACCGCGGGTTGGTGACGTCATCATGTACTGGCAATCAACATCTTGATTTTCGTAAATGATGACGGCTAACCTTTCCAAATTTCACTGCGCAAGCACATCCGATCTTCATCATGGACATGACGCGATGGATCAGCGCAAGCATCTCAGGATCGACTATTCACTAAGATCATGTAAATTACATTCATGATAACTCTATCACTACAGTATCCGTTTACATGTACAGCTATTCGCCATCTTTGACCTGTTGTTTTATTTTCTACAAATTTATGCCACTTTCTGCAAGTGCGTTTTGTTATACTAAGAAGGCAAACTATCCTACCAACAGATCTCAACATATGTTAATGCACAAAATCGTCCATATCGCTGTAGGCTGAAAGCATGCGAGCGTGCCTACAACGCGGCTGCTTCTGTTATTTTCATTTTTTTGCTTTGAATCATTATAGATTTCCTTGCAGATGATAAGCTACACAACTATTTCTTCCAAGAGAAGTAAATGGGATGTTGGTAAA